AGGAACCAAAGGGGATCTGGGGGAGTTGATTTGGAGCTGAACCTCATTGTTGTTGGTGCCGCGTTTGAACGAGTGGGCTCGCCGAGTCATGGACCCGCTGTAACGCGGGCTGTTGACTCGGTGAGGAACGCCATCCACGCTGGTGTTCATGCTACTGCGCGCCATGTCATGTAATCACACATCACGAGTTCAGATGACACCGCCATTAAAGTAGCTCAATGTTTTCAATGTGTCTTTCCTCTTCTTTTGCGTGTCCTGAATCGGAAAATTTTGCGGCGCTTAGTCAAGTCTTTTTGCTTTACACTTATTTTTCATCTGTGTTCTACTTTTTTTTCTCAAGACAAAAGTGGCAAAACGACGAAAAAGTAAAGAAATGTTGGTTTTGAGATGACTCATATATATTCATTCTAATTGCATTAATATATTTTTTATTATATAGAAATCAGATAAATATTAACATAATCTCTGTGTCACTTTTTAAATACATTCTTTATTAGTTAAAATATATTAAAAAATAAAATTTGACAGATTTATATTTTATTTTTTATTATAAAAATAAGAAAGATTACAGAAATAGTTATAACGAGGATTGAACCTAAATTTTCATATTTTTAATTATTTTAATTTCTTTATTTAATTATTAGATTAATTTTATTTAATTATTTTTTTTATAATTATGTAATTTTTAATAATAAAAATGAGTATCTTAATAGAAGTATAGAAATTGGATTTCATGCCCTAATCTTAAAGTTAAACTATTCTTTGGGATAAGTTAGGCACACCTTATAATAATCATGATTTGTATGTCTGTGGCCAGTGATAATTACTCAAAAACGATAAATCACATACGGATTATCAAGGCACATGGTGAGATGCTTCTAGTTGCGTGTGCTGCCTCATTATTTATAGGAAAATCATGTGTGGATATTACTTTTGGTAGTTGACATTTTGGAGCGAGGGAGAAGGGAGAAAAATTAGTACTAAATAATATGATAAGATGAAGAAATATAATCAATATTAAGTGTTGGTGATATTAAATTGTTATAGTATAATGAATTTTGTTAGAATATGATCTAAATTTGTAAATCAATTTTATAATAATTAATTATTTAATACATATAAAAGTATTATATAAACAACTTGGAGAGAAATGATAAAAATTAGAAAAGAGTCGAGTGGTGTTTATAAAAAATTTTAACACTTTTTTTTAAACAAGTGAAGTAACATAAATGCTCATGCCAAATTTTTCAATCTCAAAAATATAAACACAAACATTTAAGTAATTTCACCTTTGTCATTATCATGAAAGATTTTGTTTACAGAATAAAATATTTAATTACTAATTAACAATAAAGTTTGTGTTCAATTGAAATTCTCATACATCCTAGTTAGAGTCACACATACAACTAGTTAAGAATTAAAAAATAGTTCAAAGATAAAAACAAATTAAAATGCTAGAAAAAAAAAACTTAGTCATTATGACAGGCCTATGCATCCTCCTCCTTCTCCGATGACTCTGCAACTTTTCCTCTTCCATGGCTAGCAACATGTTGGTCCTCCAAAGTAAGTTGACCTTGTTACATAATTTGTATAACTCTAAAAAAAATATCAATAGACCTTTTTATTTGTATTTTTTTGAATTTTGGTCACAGGTCGCTCTAAGTGAGTTGAAATTCGCTCAAAGCAATCAAAAATTGCTTTGAGCAAGCTAACTCAAAGAGGTTTGTATTTTGGGTGCTCAGAATGAGAACAAAGCTCGCCTTGAGTGAGTGACCACCAAGAGGCCACTAGAGAGCTCATGATATACTCGCTTAAGCCCATGGAGCTCGCTTTGAGCAAGTATATCAGTATAGCAACAAAATAGAAACAACGAAAATAAGAAGGGAAGAATAATGTTATCCACTAGGTTGCCTCCCAACTAGCGCTTCTTTAACATCACTAACTTGACAGATGACAAGACCTTTAGGAGTCCTTAAATTCCATTTGAGGGCTTGACCCTTTCCTTTTTAACCTTGTAATGTCTTTTTGAACCACCCTTCCTTTAGATGTGTATCCCTTGATAACATAGGGTCTTAACCACTTGGACTTCTGTTTTCCTACAAAAAATTGAAATTTAGTCTTAAAACGATATACTTGTTGGTCTGAATAGAAGCTTCTTTCTCTTGGAGTTTTCACCTTCTTCTCGAGTAGATTTGTTGATTTCTCCCTTCTTTCTTTCTTAGGATTTGTCTTTTTTGTTTCTTTAATTATTAAACACACCCCTTGCTTGAATGACTAACTCTTTCCTTTAAACACATCAGGAGTAACCACTTCATCTTGCATCTTCAACTTGAATTTTTCATTTGCCACATCAGTAAGGGCATTTGCGATCATCATAAAAGGTCTCTCCAAAATGATAGGGATATCCACCTCTTACTTAATATCCATAACTACAAAATTTGTTGGAAAAGTGAACTTGTCTACTTTTACCAACAAATTCTCCACCACTCCATAAGGATATTTTAAAGATTTACTTGTCAATTGTAGAGTCATTTGAGTTGGCTTCATTTTTACCTCTCCAAACTTGGAGAGAATGTATAGGGATATCATGTTGATACTTGGCCCTAAATCAAGAAGAGTTTTCTTCATTGTCAGATTTCCTATAGTGATAAGAATGGTAAAGTTTCCAAGATCCTTAAGCTTTGGAAGCAAAGATTTTTGGATGACAGCACTGCAATTTGCCTCTATCTTAATGATGTCTTCATCAATGAATTTATTTTTCTTTGTGAGTCACTCCTTCATAAACTTGGCATGGGTAGGCATCTGCTCCAAAGCTTCAGTAAATGGTATATTGATTCAATGGTGTTTAAAGATATTTAAGAATAAAGCATACTACCTTTCTATACTATTGTTTGTGGGTACAAGAGGGTAATATATGTTTCTCACTCATCAACTTTTTTCATCTTATTTTCTCTTACTTCTTTATAGAGCGATGTGTCTGTTGGTGTAGTGTATGTTTGCATGAAATACACTTCACCAAATTGTTACTTCTTATTTGATAAAAAAGCTACTTATTACCTTTAAGGTGCAAAAGGAAATGAATTGTAGATGTGTCAATTAAAACCAAATTTTGGCTGACTTCATATATTTCAAGATATTTGCTTATCCATTTTCTGATGAAAAGAAAAACTCCATCCCTTTATGCATTATGAGTACTAAAGAACCTTTTTATTTTTTTTATCTGTTAAAGCTACTTAACACTTGTGTTTATTATCATTAAAACTTAGTTTTTGAGGGGTCCTAGGTCATCTTTTGATGTAGTAATAACAAACACATTTTTTGAAAAATTGTTTTTTTAAGCATATAAGGTCTAGTTGTGTTCAATTTTAGATAATATACAATAATGCATATGGAGCATATATCAAAATATAACATATTAGAATATAGTGACATGCATGTATATCAAAGATCACGCAACATGTATACCTAAAAGAGAGTTTAAAAAGAAAGGTTCCCCTTGAAAACATATAATTTCTCTTTTCTTTGTTTCTTCCTTCTTTTTCTCTTTCTCCTCCTTCAAGCACAAACAAAAATTAATCCAAAGTGAAGTCTTCATCATCTAAGCTAGGATCCATTTGGAGCTTACTAAGAAACTTGAAATATCTCTTATCATATTTAAGTTGCAAATGATGGGTTAACCTTGTCCATGGCAAAGACTAGAGTGGTCACCAAAGACTTAAGCTCCAAGACAATTTATGACACTTATAGCTTAGTGTGATAAGAGGAGGTTTGTACTAAAAAATTTTCAACAACAGGTGCAAGAACAAAAATAGAGTATGTATACACAAAACAAATATTTACAAGTAAATCAATAATAAAATGAAATGAAAAGGGTGATGGATAAACAAAACTATAGTAAGGTTGGTACATAATGTTGCAATCAAAGGGTCTAGTGGTAGGTGGAATTGGGAATTGTAGAACTTTTCATCCCATGGTGTAAATAAGGTAATCTTTGTCTATTTTAGACACTTTAGATTGATGTGCTCTGGCATAAAAATGATGTTTTATGTCCTTAATATATTTGAAGGTGCATTCCTCCCTTTTGCAAATGTTATGCTACAAGCATTCAACTCAGTCTTGACAAGAGAAAATATAGTCCAAGGATGGATTTGACCAAGTCAACTAGAAACATCAATTATGAATGGAAGATATTTTTTGCTTTCGTCATAGTTTAACTCAATGGCAACTCTAGTGCAACAAGTACCTACAAAATCAAACCTGAGTTGTCTGATCAACTCCATGATCTGATCCTCAAGATGATGTTCTCCATGCAAATCAAGGAGAATTGTTTTTGTTACTAGCTCTATTTATGGGTGAAAAATGATGTTGCGCTCTTTTCAGTGGCAAAAAAACAAATATTCTTGTAAATTGTAGTAGGGTGAGTTTTTGAGAAAATCACCCACTATAATATAGTTTGGAATGTTTTTTCATTTGTTAGTTCTTCCACCATCCTTTCAAAGTCTTCATACACATTGTTGATATTTGCACGAGTTTTGCTAGGTGGGACTTTCTATTCAAAGTCTCCAAGACTTCTTGGATCGGGGTCCACCAACGAGGCATCCATGTTGATAGGCTCAACATAATTATACTTGGAGATTCATTAAAGAAATTTTCCATGGAGAGAACTATTATTTCAATAGTCTCAAAGTTGTAATTGGATTAGTAGACGCAATTACCAATACTAATGGAACTTGTACATCACAGATGGTTATTACAGCAAGCATCACAAATGGAGTTGATGGTTGTCCAACAACTACAAGAGATGCTTCAACAAACTATTGCATTTTATTTTGCTCTTCAAACTTGGCTAAAAACTCCCTTTGATTTTTAATATGTTTTTTCAAGCTCCTTAACATTAAAATCATTCTTGATGTAAGGGTCCTTGGATTACTTTTTTTGTGCATGGATGGTTGATGCTATAAAAGAATATTTTGTAGACCATTGGCATAGGAATTGTGTGATACTCATAAACAAGCATTTTGCCATCAAGTTCCTCAAAGTCATGTTTTTCTTTAGCAGAGGACTTTAGAGCCTATTGAAGTTCCTCCTCCTTCTTCTTACCTATCTTTTTAACAAATGTTTCCAACACAAACTTAAGGGTGACTTCCTCTTTAGCTACAAGTTCTACTTCCTTTTGCTTGCACTGTTTCTCCTTCTCCAACAAAACACATTGCCCATTATTCTAACTAAACACTTCTTGACATTTATTTTTAGGTACTATAAGGCCTTGAACCAATCATCTTCTATTTGTCATTAAAAATGTTATAAAATAATAAAATAAAATTAAAAAACTTTGTTTTGATTCAATCAAAAGT